AAAGCAGAGAGCTAGGCAGCAGTCCTTTGGATAAAAAGCAGAGTTCTTTATTCTTTTCAGATCTGAGAAGAGGAGAGATAAAAGGAGAGAAAAAGAGGGATTTACAAAAGAGAGGTCAATTTCTTTTTGGTAAAAATTAGATCTTTTTCTTTGAGACGAGCTTGTGGGTTGTACAAGTCGTCGGTGTTCTTCTCATAGTGGAATCCCCTCACCCCTCCCGTGGACGTAGGCAAGTTTGCCGAACCACGTAAATCTCGTGTATTTATTGTTTTCTGGTTGTTAGCTATTGCTTGTAGGTTCCCTCAATATTCGGTCTTAGAGCTGATGAGAGGAAGAGTGCATATTTCACTTTGATAAAATATATCACTTTCGATTCTTGTTTCATTTGAGAAATAAGAATTTTACTATCTATTCTCGTTTCCTTTGAGAAACAAGAATATAGAGGTTGACTTGTGCTTTTGTGACAACAAAAGTCAGGGCTCTCTCTCAGCTGATATCGCTTCCGCGGCGGTGAGCGTGATTCTGCGCCCAACACCTAAATTAAAATAAGTAGATTGCCAATGCTTTAAATCAATGCCACGTTGCATAAGCTAGAACCTTTTACCAGAACATCATGCTCGTTCATACTGGACATTTTCAAACTAATGAGCCGGTGCCATTAGCAGTAGTCCTATCACGATGTCTCCAACTTTTGAGACGTTGAGTCCCGATAACTTCACCATGACTTTCTCGTCTTTAAGAATCCATCGAAGTGAGAGAGAAAAAGAAAATAAAAGAATAGAAAATTTCTTGGGAAAAATGTTATAAGCCCCAAAAAAAAGATCCGGTTGTGGCCCAGACCCAGCAATTAATTCTCTTAGCATTTAGCCCCATAAAATAGTGAAAATTGTGGCCCAGCCCTAAAAGCCCATTCATATACATGTATTGGGTGTATTTTGACCAACATACCTAAATTACCCTCATCTCTCTCACAGGAGAAAACCGGCTGAATGGGTTCCTCCTTTGGCGGCGACCGCTCCCATCGCATTTAAGGCGAAGCGACGGAGGAAAGCGGGGGGAAAAAGCGCGCACTCCCTCCATTACTGTGCTGCTTCATCATCCTTTAATATAAATCGGTCAGTTCTAGCTCTCACTCTCTCATTAATGAAATTAGGGTTTGTTCTTCAACTGTCAACCATGTTTATGCGCCTGAAATCCCCTCAATTACTCCTCACCTCCTCATAACTGTCCTCATAACTCTCAACCACCCAATGACTACTGATGACTTGATTTGCATGGTGTTTTTAGGCGAGAATGCCATATTTATGAAGCTAAGGTCGACAGCAAGCTTTTATGAACTGAAATATGGTGTGGCTGAAAGATTGAAAGTACTTGAAGAATCTTTTTCCTTGATATATAAATCTGAGAGGCACCCCAACCTGAATTTTTTAGTTGAGAACGAAGATGACCTGAAGTGCATGTTAGAGCACAATCGAAAGATTGGTTGTACGGAGATTCATATGCAGGTTGCTGTTAACATAGAGTGTTCCACGCCAGGGAAGAATCAGAAAGTTATTAGCGAAATATAAGTAATTAATAAACTCTTTATAACATTGTGCTTAGTGTGATGTAAACACTGTTATCTTTTGGTCAACTTTCAATCACCCCTCTGGGCTTTAAATCCCCTGAATGTAACCGTATAACTGTCGTCATAAATTTGAACAACCCCCAACGGGTTCCAAAGAGTTGATGAGCATGGTGCCGTTAGGCGATAATGCTATATTCTGCATGATTTGAAGTGCACGTTGGAACGCAAGTAAATAACTAGAATTGTTCTGATTAAAATGCAAGATGTTGATGCCCAGTAATGTCCTACTCCTGAGGAAAAAAACAGAAAGTTATTACTGATTTGTAAGTAATAGAATGAACTCTGTTTGAAACTGGGATATGTGGGATGTTGAAATTTTGATTTCAGGTTTCGATGCTATTTTGGGGAAAAATAGTTGTCATCGCTGATGGGTACTTTTTAACCCTTCAGCATACGGGTTAATTATCTAAGATATATGTTAACTATTATATGAACATGTTAACTCTCATTGGAACATGTTATACTTTTCTTGAACATGTTAACTTTCGTCTGTCTGTGTTAACCATGACCATTGTCTGTTAAATTCCACTGCTCTATGTTAAGTTTTGCTCAAAATGGTTAATTTTACACCCAATTAGTTAACTTTTGGTGTGCTGTGTTAACCATGCATATTGTTAACTTTCATCATAGTGCTGTTAACTTAAGTTATAAGAAGATTATTTAACATAGTGTGCAGGATATCTCACTGTTTGATTAAATTGTGCAACAGGGACGCCTCTTTGAGTGCAGATTATAGTTGTCCTCCTCCAGGAAATGCATCCAATTCAGAGAGAATCCAAACCGATTTTCCATCTGGTAAGATTGTAATGAGGGCTGATGATATTCTCAATAACACTTCGAGCATTCCTCAATGGTGGCACACAGCATTAACTGAAAAGGGGCAACAATTTGAAACCGTAACTGAATTGAGACTAGCTTTGCAATACTATTCCATGGCCAAAAAATTTGAATATGAATTTGTAAAGAATGATCCCAAACATATCCGCGTTTGTTGTCGATATAAGGAGACATATGGATGCCCTTGGATGCTCTTTGCAGCTCCTGTTAAAAATGATAAAAGAATGGAAATCAAAAGGTTTGTGAATGAACACAGTTGCGGACAACATTCTAACTTGTCAGGGCAATCACGGGCATCTCGTAAGTTCATAGCAGCCCAATTGCGACCGGTATTAAAGGCACGACCTGAAATCCACCCAATTGATGTGCAAAAGGACTTCCTCACTCGATTTGGATTGAGACTTGAATACAGTAAGATATGGTGGGGCAAAGAAAGAGCACAGCAGGATATGTATGGTGATAGCTATGAGGCTTATGATCAATTTAGATGGTAAATATTACAGTTAATTTATAACTTGTGTGCAAATGTTTATCGTAGCCGCTTTAATGTTAATATGTTACCCTTATGTTCCAATGTATTATATTTATTTACATGTCCAGAAGTGGCATTGTTGTACAGATATGAGCAAATGGTGAAGCAAATGAATCCAGGAAGCTACATTTGCATTGACCAGAATGAAGGAAGGTTCAGAAGACTGTTTATATGTTATGCTGCTTGCATCCAGGGTTTCTTAAATGGGTGTAGACCCCTTTTATTTTTGGATGGGACCTTTTTGAAAGACAGATATAATGGCATGCTTCTAAGCACCATAGCCTCGGAGACCAAGGGATATTTCCACTTGCGTATTGTATATGTGATCAAGAAAATGTTCATAATTGGAGATGGTTCCTACAAGGCCTGTGGTCCATACTGTATGAAAGGTTGGACCCGTACAATCCCCCCCACCAATTGGTAATTATTTCTGATACCGACAAGGGGATTCGAGAAGGCGTGAGAGAATATTTCCCTGAAGCAATTCACTCACGCTGCGTTCTGCATCTAGTTGAAAATTTTAGATCAAAGCTCAAGGATTTGGGATTGAAGGCAAAGGACACACAGGTTTTTGGGAATTTGCTCCAAACTGCTTGCTATAAATACACTATAGCGGAATGGAACGACTACATGAAGGAAATCTATGAGATGGCTCCAGTCGCATATGAGATTGCTCCAGTCGCATATGAGATTGCAATTAATTACTCGCCAGAGCATTGGGCAAATGCCTTCTTCCCTGACATTAGGTATGCATTCAATTATTAAGACGTTTTGCGGTTGATGTTAACTGTTATGCATATATGTGAAGTATCCTTTTTATAGGTTAACCTTCGCTAATATATGTTAACTTTCACCAATATATGTTAACTATGATGTTATTATGTTAGACTTTAGCTGTATAGGTTAAGTTTTATGATCACTTGTTAAGAAGATAACATATTATATGCCCATCATACTTCCTATATGTTGTCCTTTGCAGATATGGCCATGTAACCTCTAATGTCGCAGAATCCTTTAACAGCTGGATACGTGAAGCCCGTTTGTTACGTATCCTGCAAATGGTGGAGCATATCCGAAAACAACTTATGACTCGCATGAACAACAGACGGATAATGGCGTGTAAGTGGACAAGCTATCTTTGTCCTAAAGCTGAGCAGATTGTTAGAGAAAATATGGAAAAAGGGCGCACTTTAGAGATTAGGCAATCTAGAGAGGATATTTTCGAAGTGCAATCCCATAGAACCACTCACATTGATTTGGAGAATAGGACATGCACTTGCCGAGCTTGGGACGTAACCCGTATTCCTTGTCTCCATGCTTGTGCAGTCATTATTTATATGAAAAGAGATGTATATCAATATTGTGATTGGTTCATGTCCGTAGAAACGTTTAAGAAGAGCTACGACGAAATACTATATCCCATACCAGACTATGAGAAGCGGAGTGTGCCCAAGGATGAAATCCAGATTTTGCTACCAATTACCACTAAGAGGAGGGGAAGAAATAGAACAAGACGCATAAACAACAGAACCATATACAAATGGCCCGTCAAATGTTCTCGGTGCAAAGTTGAAGGTCACAATAGAGCAACCTACAATGAGCCCATCCGTGACTAGTGTGTTTCAGCTTCTAACAACAATACTTTTGTATGAGACATATAGGTGTTTCAGCTTCTAACAACAATACTTTTGTATGAGACATATAGATGGTTTTAAAGTTGTTAAGTATATGGCGTTGTACTTTTGTAATCTGTGATAATGCCTGTTATATTTATTTTGTTCATGCTGTTAATAGAAACATGTTATAGTGAGAGACATTTTCCGATCTTCACCTGTCATGTCAAGGTTTTGAGTTTAAATGGGTGACTTCTCCAACGTATTAGTCACTGTTCTAACGGCTAGCAACCAGTCATTTCAAATAGCCATATTCCAACGGCTAGTAAGTTGATCCTTAAGCAATATAAAATGTGCACATAGGAAAGTTATAAGCTTAATAGAAGTTCTAACTTTCCCTTCATTCCCTCTTGAGATTGCGAGATGAAAACGTCAGAGGGTGTTCAGTCATGGGAAGAGGTATGTTGTTTTTGTAACATTCCAACACCCATGAAGCAGTGCAAAAATGGGAGGAACAAGGGTAGATTCTTCTGGGGATGTGCAAATTTCCCAAAGAGCCAATGCAAGTTTTTCGCTTGGGCTCACAGTGAAGATGCAATGGTAAGTAGGAATATTCCAGATTGCCCAGAAGTCCCCGTTGAAGATGATATGGCGGTCAAGGCAAAGCAGTTGAAGAAAGCACTGAAGCAAGCAAACCGCGAAGTTGAAAAATGGAAACTTTGTTCTTTCTTCATGTGTTGTTTTTGTATGGTTCTAATATCCATCATCTTTGTCATCTCTAACTGAATTTGGTCAAGTATCACGTGTATACGTTAACGTTTACTATAAATGGTTAAGTTTCAGAGCTATATGTTAACTCTAACTGATAGTGGTTAAGTTTTAGAGTTACATGTTAACTATTACGTATAGTGGTTAAGTTTCAGAGCTATATGTTAACTCTAACTGAATTTGGTCAAGTTTTAGAGCTATATGTTAACTATTGGAGATAGTGGTTAAGTTTCAGAGCTACGGGTTAACTTTTATTAAAAGTGGTTAACTTTCAGCGCTATATGTTATCTTTCATACTTATATGGCAGCCACCTCAAGTTTTGTCTCGGAACATCAGTGACATATACTATAGCCCTGTTATGTATTACATTTCAAACATTTTAGCAACAAATATTATGCTGTCAACCAGTTAAACAACCAGTTTCTTACATCTCCTCGTCCAACCTACCCACCAGTTAAATAAAAAGTTTTGATATCACATAACATCTTAACTAGCAACCAGTTACACAGCCTTTCTCTAGTTATACATCTAAATTAATATGCCTGTTAGTTTTCTCCCACAACAAACTGCACAATACATAACTTTTCCTGACATCATTCACCCATCCTTTTTTAGCCCATCCACATAATTTTTTTTCTGTTCCCATCCTTCAACTAGGAGTTCAGCTGCAAGCTTGGTACGGATGACGTCGGACTCGTCAGCGGGATTAGTTACCTGACTGGTATCAGTCCCTTGTATTATAGTCGTTATATATAAAGGAACGAAAAGCCCACAATCAAATCTACATCATATACATTGGAAAGATAGTTAGATATTTGATGCTGAATAAAATGAAAAAGTGTGTGAAACACTAACGTTCCACGCTGTTGCTCGCAAGGGACGGCTTCATATCGGAATTTCTTCCAAACATTATTGGGATCAAAACCAGCCTTCATGTGATCCATGAAATCAATTACTTTATTTACTGGGTCCAGGTATGCACTGTGGCCTGCAGAGCTGTAATGCTTGATAACATCCTCGTCCAACCTTACTTCAACAACATGCTAGTGGTCATGCCGCACAAGCGGGATAAGGAGTACTGATTTATTTGCGACGACATGCTTTTGTATGAACGAGGTGTATAAATGTGCGTAATCTGGGTTCACTACGTAAAGGCTATGCTGTATTGCCAAGCAAATAATGATAAGCCATTTGTAAACAGGAGTTAAAAAACATTGGGAGTTTGAAGCTAATGCTTACGTAGAAAAATACTGACACGACCCCATATTTCATGCCAACAGAACCAATTTCTGGCCTCTCTAGCCATGTGCTGAGCCTATCTACAAGAGCTTCCATGACCTGTTAACAGAAGATGCAAATTAGATTGCATAACATCTCAACATCCAGTAAATCCAAGTATTGCGTAAAAGATTAACATATTGAGAGTAGCATATTGAACTTGCATGGTCATCGATACGCCCGCTACATAGAAGATAAAGAAGCTCTGTCGAATCAATGCTGCTGTTCAATGTCTTAATAATAGTACGTGACCTGAAACATAACAATAAGATCCAAATTTTAACATAAACCAGGCTATATGTTAACTGGATTTGCAAATATAAACATGATTTGGCAAACGTTGGCACAAATAGGTATAAGTTAACATAAACCTATAATCATTAACATGTAACTATGAAAGTTAACATAAACCTATAATCATTAACATGTAACTATGAAAGTTAACATAAACCTATAATCATTAACATGTAACAATGAAAGTTAACATGTTGTAGCCACGGTTAATCAGAATGTCTAAACTTACTGATGGGCTGTTTCATTGCAGAACTGAAAGAGCCATCTGTTCTCGTCTGGTGTGAGCTTTGCTGCTATATGCTGAGGCACTCTAAAGTTGTGAACGAAGGTTCCTTCACTATCAATCACACGTATGCTAAAATCATCAACGCTAGGAATACCCTCGTTTAGCAACTTCAATAGAGCCTCCTCCTTCTTCTTGATTTTCCTCTTCCCAAGAAAATCCCAAGTGCATTCCTCAAGCTTACAATAGAACCTGATTTTATCCCTCTCTTCCTCCTTGTGTGGTGATATGTTAAATGTTAATTATATCTGGACGACCGTCCTTCTTCTTTCCTTCAGTGAAAAGGGTTCGGACCAGATGTGAGCGAGTCCTCTTTCTGGTACTTGGTCCCCTAATACCCCTTGACACAAGTTTCTTCGATCTCTTCTGATAAACTTGCACCTGATCCTTATCCTCCTCACTAGCCACAGCTTTCCCCACATTCTCAACCTCCATCTCTTGCCATTCCTCCTTCGCTGCCTCCTTCTCTTCCTCTTTCTTCTCATCTCCACTCTCTTCCTCTTTCTTCTCATCTTCCCTCTCTTCCTCTTTCTTCTCATCTTCTCTCTCTTCCTCTTTCTTCTCCATCTCTTGCCATTCACCTTTCTCTGCCTCCTTCTCTGTTTGCGCAACAGCATCTGCAATATGAGAAGCTTCCTTGCCAATGTTCGTTACATCGTCATAATCAAAACAAATTCCATCATCACCCATATCACTCCTATCATTAGAATCAAAACTCTTTCTTATTTTCCTCTGTGCATCTTTCTTCTTTTCCTCAGTGCATACCCTTTATGCCTATCACTTTGTGACATAAGTTCCCTCACATTTTTCTTCAGGTCTTCGGGATCAATCAAGTCTTCGATCCCTTCATAGCGCTCCAATTTCTTGTTCAACCTATGTATCTCCTGGGAGCAAGCATCCCATTGAAGGCGCTTGCTATGCTTGACAGCGTGGAGCAATTTTCAATTTATATTGGCCGTATTCCTCCAAAAATGAATTTGCTCTGCAGGTGCCAACTTATCTATTTCATCTTCTCTTGAAAAAGCATCAGCGATATGCTGGGACAAAATCTGAAAACTTATCTATTTCATCTTCTCTTGAAAAAGCATCAGCGATATGCTGGGACAAAATCTGAAAAGTAAACCATATACCCTTTACCCATGTAAATCCACAAGATTAAGCAGAATAGTTATGAAAACCCATAAAAGAAAGTTAACATGAAAAAATGCAAATTGAAAATGAATTAATGATAACAATAAAATATTTAACTCAATGTAAATATGTTGTGATGTGTAAAGAGTCATTGCTGCTTACGTAACCCACAGATGAGCTCTTTGGTCTGCCCATCACCTTCTCTTGCTTCCCAGCCTTCTGCTTTTCTTCCTCGTTCATCTTTCTCGGCCTAGTTTGCTCTTTGGTCTGCCCATTACTCCTTTTCTTATCTTGCTTCCCGGACGTTGGACTTCTATTTTTCCCAAAGCGAGTGAATTCAATCTTCTTCCTGCTGGGCTCCCTTTGAGGGTATTTTTCACCCCATCCAATGCTGAGTGAAATTGGTTTCTCCTCAAGTTTTATGCTTGCTTTCTTGGCCTTAGAGACGATTGTCTCCATCCTCAGCGATCCAGCCGTCCCTCCGACCCTTACCCAGTTGGTCATCGGAGGCTTCCACCTCAAGTTTAGGGCTGGTTTTTTAATGCCAGTCATCTCAAAGTACCAAAGCTGTCAGAATAGAAGGATCAATTGTCAAAATAATTAACTTGTATAACTCTTTCTTGAACTACAACATACTAAATAGCTAGCCTTCACTTCACTAACCCATGTTAACATTACTGGGTACATGTTACCTTTCACTTATTAATGTTAACTTTAATTTTTATATGTTAAAGTTTATGTTAACATGTTAACTTTCACCTATTAATGTTAACTTTTACTTTTATATGTCAAACTTCATGTTAACATGTTGATTTCAACATGTTAGCCTATTAACGTCCAATGTTGTACATGTTTTCTAATGCCTGGTACCATGACTCCTATTAACTAGATAAAATGTCTAGCCAGATGATCATGCAACATACAGGGATGAGCGGCATGCATCCAGGTACGTATGTAACCCCTAGCTTCCTCATCTCTTGAACAACAATTTGAATGCCTCTCTTCGTCTCATCAAAAATAAATTTACCCCATGCAATGGTCTTCACTCTCTCGATACTATCTACATATTGAAACAATTGTCTTGGGATGCCTTGAGAGCTGTTGGGGCACCAAATTGTTGCACATTGGTACAATATCTGAAGCAGCACAAAATCCTCATTGTCCTTATTATCAGAGGACTCTACAAGTGTTTCCAGTAACTCCTCGACATATCTCCTCATGCTACCAGCTTCTGGTGTAGCCTTGGCCTTTGCCTTTGCCTTTGGCTTGGCCTTTAGCATTTCTTTCTTATCTTCAAAGTATTGCCTCCAAAGTCTGTTGTGAGGGTCTCTATTCCCGTAGATCAGCTCCCCATCAATGGGAAAGCCTGTGTGAGTATGCACCCACTCTTCATCAAATTTCACTGAAAATATAGAACCGCTCTTGGGGTTGGGAAAAGAGAACTCATCAGTTTCGCCAGTATAATGGCTGAGCACATACTCTAGTGCCCGTCGATCGCGTGCTGGGGGACCAAAGAACACATAGTGCTCAAAGTTACAGCCTTTGTAGGCATCCCAATGCCACTTCTTCAGTTTTGGTTGCAGTTTTTGCATGAAGGAACAATACGTTCCAAGACAGGCACTGGGCCTAATAGCACCTAATGCAGTAACTATCCTTAATGAACAACAATTTACTCTTAACAAGCTGTTCAACTCAACTTTAAATTACGTAACAATCAACAGAAAAGGCATTAACATAGTCAAAATCATGATTTATTAACATGATTAGCTAATAGTTGACTCTTAAGAGTAAACGTTAACAACAAACACAGATTATTGACATGCATTGCTACTACCTATCAACAATTGCCATTTCCTTCAAAAAGGAACCCATAAACCACAATTAAAATCAACATCACTCATTTAAAATAATTAAATTCAAAAACCCTCAATTGATTGGGAACTTACTTCTTCTTTGACATGGACACATCCTCCGACGAGCGTCTCCTCTTGCGCTCTCGATTTTCCTGACTTTTCATGCTCAATAGGGTTTCCATCGCCTCATTACTCTCCTCATCATCAGAGGATGGCGGAACAGAATCGCCGGCGTAAGATATCAAGGCGGAGGTGGAGGGGGATAAATTTGGTAGTTCCTCCTGCGCAAGTCGTGCCGACCGACGCCGGTGACGAACGTCCGCTTCCGTTTGAATCTGGTCTACTTCACCCGTGCGTCGTTTAGGGTTCTTAGCCATTTTTCTTATAATTTTCTTCGGCATTTTCCTTGTGGGTTTCCTGGCCGCTAGAGTCAAACTAGGGTTTTCAAATTGGGTTCGACCGCTGAAGGAGATTCGAGGTTTTGGAGAAATTTGTGGGTCTGCAGAGAAAAGAGCGCGAGCGAGAGAAAGAGGGAGGGCGGATTGGGGGGGACGAACAGTTACAAGGGCAGTTTCGTCTTAAGAGAGGTACTGTGCTCTCAAAGTTGCTTGGGAAATGAAAATGGGGCTGAACCGTTATTGAGTTGGGTATTGGGGGTTTGATCACACAAAAAAAAAATACAGGGGGGCTATACACAACTGGATCTTTTTTTTGGGGCCTTATAACATTTTTACCAAATTTCTTCCATGCACGAAGATATTTTTAGATGCCTGTTGTTCTCAAAGCTTAATAGCGTGGGAACCATGGCAAGCAACAAGCACCACTAATGAAAAATTGAGCACCCTTGATGGCATGCAATTGAGTAGACTTTAGTCAAGGTTCAACACAAAATGTTAAAGCCAAAAGACTTGACTTTGGCTCTTTAATTTCACGAGTCTTTTGCCTCAAAAAAATTTCACGAGTCTTATTTGATCGGTGAAGAACCTGGGTTTGAGATATATATATATATACTCTAAAAAAATCTACCGGATTTAAGACCCCTTTCTTCTTATATCCTTCTGAAGCAGCTCCCAAGTTTGCAGGACTCAAAATGTTATCCGCATTTAAGACCCCTTTCTTCGTATTCCTCCTCCTCCTCAAATGCACAATCTCAACTCCACCTTCAGAATCCTTCATCTTTAACGGATTCACCGGTGCCAATCTGAAACTCGATGGAATCGCCTCCATCACCTCTGACGGCCTACTCAAGCTCACCAACGCCACAAGACTAATGAAAGGCCATGCTTTCCATCCAAACCCTCTCAAATTCAAATCTCCCGCCGGAAAAACCCTCTCCTTCTCCACAACATTCGTGTTCGCTATTTTATCCGAGATATCCGATGTCAGCGGCCACGGCATCGCCTTCGTGGTCTCCCCGACGACGAACCTCTCCTCTGCTCTTCAGAGCCAGTACTTAGGCCTGTTCAATATGAACAACAATGGCAATGCAAGTAATCACGTATTTGCTGTTGAGCTCGACACAATACTTAACTCTGAGTTCAAAGATATTAGCGATAATCACGTTGGCATTGATGTAAACAGTTTGAAGTCTAGTAACTCTCATGACGCTGGTTACTACGACAATAAAACCGGCGTTTTCAAGAACTTGACGCTGATGAGTGGCCAACCTATGCAGTTGTGGGTAGATTTCAAGGGAGAAGAAATGGAACTAAACGTTACATTATCTCCAATCCGAATGCCCAAGCCAAAGAAACCCCTCCTGTCGACGAAAATTGATCTTTCGAGCTTAATGCTCGATTTGATGTATGTTGGTTTCTCTTCAGCGACAGGGTCATTTCACACGACTCATTGTGTTCTCGGATGGAGCTTCAAGATGAACGGAGAGTCTGAAAAGCTCGACTACGATAGGTTCCCCCCGCTTCCTCGCAATAAAAATAAAGTTGGTGTGAATGTTTTAGAGATATGGCTGCCCATGGCTTCTAGCTCTTTTGTGTTATTCATCATTATCGCCGTCTATCTTATTGTTCGAAGGAGGAGAAAATATGCTGAATTACTCGAAGATTGGGAGATTCAATATGGACCTCACCGGTTCTCATATAAAGACCTGTTCCAAGCGACGAAAGGGTTCAAAGAGAAAGAGTTACTGGGGACAGGGGGATTCGGTAGAGTATACAAAGGGGTGTTATCTCCTTCAAAGATTGAGGTTGCAGTTAAGAGAGTCTCCCATGAATCAAGGCAAGGTATGAAAGAGTTTGTAGCCGAAATTGTCAGCATCGGCCAGCTTCGCCATCGAAATATTGTACAGCTCTTAGGCTACTGTCGACGAAAAGGGGAACTTCTCTTAGTGTACGACTTCATGCCTAACGGTAGCCTTGACAAATTTCTATATGACAAACGAATGCCGACTCTCCGTTGGGTTCAAAGGTTGCTATATATTCTCCCTGATATCCTATCTGTTATATTTGATAGTATATAATGATGCTACTAGACTATCTCCTCCAAACTATATTCACACTACGAGCGAGAGAACTTGTGTGGGTTCGCATCCTATTAGAACCACCTGCATACAGCGGACAGTTCTGACCCTTTGATGAAAAAAGAGGACAAACTAAGAATTTTGCCCCCCACTTGATAGGTCAGAACTGCCTGTTTGAATGAGGAAAGTTCTGATTGGATGTGTGGTGGAAGTGTGAGCTCAATTGAGAGTACGAGTCCTTGTTTAATGGTTGAAAAGAATAGACCCCACATATTTCTTTTCTGTATTGTGTTTGGGAGGAATAATATAGTTATCTCAACCTGGCTCTAGGTAGTATTATTCCTCTCGATTTCCTTTTGCTTCTTAGCTTCTCTTCATGACTTTCTATTTGAAGTTTCTGACTTGTATAAATATATGTAGTCATACATACGAGTAATCAATAAAGATTGTTCTCCTTTATCTAAACAGGTTCAAAATCATCAAAGGCGTTGCATCCGGTCTCTTATACCTACACGCAGAATGGGAGAAAGTCGTTGTCCATAGAGACATCAAGGCGAGCAACGTTCTACTCGATAGCGAAATGAACGGGAGGCTTGGCGATTTCGGGCTAGCGAGGTTGTATGATCATGGATCCTACCCTTTAACAACTCATGTTGTTGGAACAATGGGGTATCTTGCTCCGGAGATTGGAAGGAACGGCAAAGCGACGACTCTAACCGATGTTTATGCCTTCGGGGTTTTCTTACTTGAAGTGGTTTGTGGCAAGAGACCGGTGAAGCCCAACACTGAGAATGGGCTCGTTCTGATGGATTATGTGATCGATAACTGGAAACAAGGAACGTTGATTGAGACAATTGATTCAAGAATGACGGTGGAGGACTACAACGTCGATGAGGTCGAGTTGGTATTGAAACTTGGTTTGCTGTGTTCACATCCAATAGCGGGAGTGAGGCCGAGCATGAGGCAAGTGATGCAGATTCTTGATGGAGATGTTCGACTGCCGGAGATTACGCCGGATTGTTTGAGCTTTGGGAGTGCGGCTTTGCCGGCTGATTTGGGCTTTGAAGATTATATCACGTCGTTTTGTTTCATTTCCATGTCAGGAGGAGGCCGATGAATCCAACGGGTATACTATATATGTTTTGTATAAGAGTGTTTCGTTAAGATTATATAAAGATATTGGATATAAATAAGGTGCTAAAAGCTCATGAATTTGTTGTTAATGTGATCATGCAAAGCATATGCATTATCAAAAAAAAATTAGGAATATGCCAATCCAAGTTGCAGGACGGAGATTAGTTATAATCGGATTTGGATCCTCAACACTATTGAAAAAGGTATAGTATAGAAGTCATTACTTTTCCTCAAAACCGTCTATGTTAAAATGTAGTATGTACAATAGCTCTTGTTTGAGTAATAACTGAATTTCATTTTAGTTCTAATAATTGTTTGAGATTATATAGTATAGATAAAAATAGGTATAAGACATGTATGAGGCGAAACTAAGCGAAAATCAGCTCAAATGTTGATTTCAACCATCAAATTATCGATAGTCATTAGGAACCCACTAACGGTTGAAGACTCATTCATGGCTACAAGAACTGATTGATGAAATTTTAGAGATAAGATTTTAACTCATAGATGGATACAAGGATCCATCAAAGGAACCCATCGATGGTCATGAGCAACCATCGATGGTCGGTTGATTGCATATTTGATATTTTAATTATAGTCGTTCATCGTTTCTTTTAATCTCTAAACTTTACCACATTTAGGATATCTCTTTTCTACTCTATTGAAGGCTACATAACATTGAAATTGAAAGAGAAAAGAGAGTTCTAGGGCTTTGATTGAATAGAGATTATGTTTGAAGTTTTGATCCTTGGAGCCACAAAAAACACTTTCTCATCGCACACAACATCTTCGGATCATTTCAGTGAGGAGAGTTGCCCTTAGATCCATTATCCACATCATTCTTCATTTTTCTACACTTAAATTCATCAAAGGATGGTTTGTTTTATCGAAAGGGAAGTAAGATCTTTTTATATTGCACTTAATTGATATTGGTTGATTTGTTTTAGACTTATTTTTATGGCGTACTCAAGCCTGTATGAATTGAAGGTTTACGATGTACTTAAGCTGGGATGAATTGAGGAATTAGGTCTAACTAGAGCTATGTAGTAGAGAGTTAGATTAGACTACTGGTTTCGGGTAGATTTCAGGATATGGTCTTTGTAAGCCTATTGAATCGGATTGTGATTAAGGAAAACTCTTGGCATTGTGAGGAAGCTCATTCATAAGAAGGAAGAGTGGATGTAGGATTATTATCCAAGCCACTATAAATCGAGCATGTCCTTGGTTGGTTGTTTGTCACTTTTATTTTATTTATTCTGCTACATATTCTGTGTTTTTTTGTGAAAAATAGTAGCAATCCTATTCACCCCTCCCACCTCTAGGCTTGCACCTCAGATCTAACAAGTGATATTAGAGCCTTGTTCATATTTATATGACTCACAACCTATGGTAAAAATGTCTAGTTTGGCCGCCACAACGGCTTTATCTAAGGAACATGCAATTAATCAACCCCTCTTTTCGATGGGAAAAACTACATCTATTGAAAGGCGCATATGAAAGTCCTTTTGTTGTCCACCGATTTTAATGTATGAAGTAGTATATAGAATGACTATAATGAACCTACTACTATTGTAGTGATACTACTATTTTCACTCCTTGAGATAAGCAAACTGCTTAGGTGAAAAAGAATGTAAAAGCTATGAATGCTCTTCATTGTTCTTTAACTGATGAATAATTTGACCATGTGTCAAATTATTCTATTGCGCAGGAAATTTGAAAAACTCTAGAAGTTACACACGAGAGAATTTCATAGGTGAAAGAGGACAAATTTATAATGCTTGTGAGTAAGTATGAGATGATGAAGGTCTCAGAGAGTATTTGGAATATGTTTCCCCGATTCATGGATACTGTGAACAAATCAAAAGCTTTGGGAAAGAAGTACGACAACAAGCAGCTTGTGAGAAAAATTCTTTGTTCTCTTTCTAAGGATTAGGAACCAAAAGTAACTGCTATTGAAAAGTTAAAAAACTTTTCTTAACTAACTATTGAGGATCTTATAGGCAATCTTCTCACCTATGAATTACAATTAAAAGAAAGAGAAGATAATTCAAAGATGAAGTTGTTAGCCCTAAAAGGAAAAAATGAAAAAAAATCTTGATCCACAAAGAAGAAAGAATCAAGTTCAAGCTCCAAGGATGAAAATAGTCGTGTTAATCAAATTGTTAAATGCTATGAATCCTTCCTTAAATCAAACGTTGTCAGAAATTCCAGCAAGACAAATGTTGGGATTGTGTCTTTGATTCTTTGTATAACTTTATGAGAATTACATCTATCATGATTAGGGGATTGAGTCTCATCATGATTAAGAGTTTGAATCCTATTCTAATTAGGAAGTTAGGTTAGAAATAGGGTTTTGGTTTCCCTATATATATTCTTCTATTATTGGAGGAAAAACTAAGGAAAGGAGAGATAGGTAATAATCTTATAATCTAGGGTTAGCAGAGGGCGTAGCCTGATTCAAGAATATTATGCTAGAGATGAGGGTTTCGTAGTCTTTATACGTGTAAAAGATTATAATATTGTGAGAGGGTTTCACAGTCTTTGTCCGTTCAAAAGATTGTAAGGAGAGGGCTTTTGGAGAGAATATGAGATTTGATTATGTATGTGGGGTTGAGAGATTGAGAGACAAGAGTTGAGTGATTCCTCTTGTAGTTCTTCCTGATATGTAGTAGATTTCTCATATTGTTGCCCCGTGGATATAGGTTAAAGTTGGTAGACCGAATCACGTAAATTTTGGCGTTCTTTCTTCTTGATTGTGGTTATTTTCTATCTTCTTGATTGCGGGTTGGCTTCCGAGTTACACAGATCGTAGTATGCGGGGAGATTAAATTCTCCAACAAGTGGTATCAGAGCCATGATGATGAATCCAAGAGTTAATTTTCAAGATAGAAGTCGTCTTTGTGCGAGATTGAAGATCGATCTTACTAGAATCAAGATGAAGAAAAAGAAAAAGAAAAAAAGAAGATATGTAGAGGAGGGAATACTGTAGCAATGAGAACATTGTTCAGGTGGGTGAGGATTTGGTTAAAAAATCATTAAATCAAATCCGACGGTGCAAATTAATTTATCTTCTGATCGATGGTTTGGAGACGGATATCGACAATCCAGGAATTGATTCCTATATTTTGGAGTGCTTTGAACACGATGGGAGGGTTTGATTTTTTAGATTTTACTCAGATTAGTCAGAAAGTGCTAATGAGTTCTAATGGTGTAACGAGATAAATCTGATGACAGATAGGGCAAACGAGTATGCGACGGATGAGGTTGGTGTAGAGAATCTGACGTGATTCTAGCGGTAGAGTTGCCAACATATAATTATTTAGAGTCATCGTAGGAGCAGGAGTTGTTTGTTTGTAGACCTGAGGAGGACGGTGCCAGAATAGATGGAGCTTGCAAGCAAGCACGACTGAGTGACACACATGCTGATGGAGATGGTGGTATTGGACTTAAAAACGATGAGCGCTCATATTCGGTCCAAGCCAAGTGATGGAGGAGATAGAAGCATTAGGCTCTTGTTGTAGAGTAGGAGAGTTGCACTAATATGATTCGAGATGAGCGATGCTGATGGAGTACGAGGATAGCAAGTGGGGAAAGGCTACTGTCAAGTCTAGTTTGGGAGGAGAAACATAGTTGATTTGCTTTTAATGTTACAGGTGGTAAAAATCTCTTGGTACACACAAGAGAGGTGGAGGTGCCACAGCGAAGCAGATGATAGCGAGGGTCACGCGACGTCCTAGTTGGAGTGTCGGTGCTTCGATTTGAAGTGTAAAAGAATAGAAGACGCTAGAAGGAGAAACAAAGTTTTAAGACAGCGATGATATATCTTCAAGGGAGTTTGGGAATCAAATCCAAGATGGAGATTGTTGGGATTATGTGTTTGATTCTTTGTATAACTTTATGAGAATTAGATACGGTTAGAGATCTATCATGATTAGGAGATTGGGTCTCATCGTGATTAAGAGTTTGAATCCTATTCTAATTAGAAGGTTAAGCTAGAGATAGGGTTTTGGTTTCCCTATATATATTTTTCTATTATTGGAGGAAAAACTAAGGAGAGGAAGGTATCCAATAATCTTGTAATCTAGGGTTAGCAGAGGGAGTAGCCTGACTCAAGAATATTATGTGAGAGGTGAGGGTTTCATAATCTTTATCCGTGCAAATGATTACAACATTGGGAGAGGGTTTCACAGTCTTTGTTCATTCAAAAGATTATAAGGAGAGGGTTATTAGAGAGAATATGAGAGTTGATTATGTATATAAGGTTGAAAGATTAAGAGATGAGAGTTGAGTGGTTTCTCTTGTAGTTCTCCCTGATACATAGTAAATTTCTCGTATTATTGCCCCGTGGATGTAGGTCGAAGTTGGTCGACCGAACCACGTAAATCTCGGTGCTCTTTCTTCTTGTATTATGGTTGTTTTTTATCTTGTTGATTGCTGGTTGGCTTTCGAGTTACGCAGATCATAGTATGCTGCGAGACTAAATTCCCCAACAACAAATGGGATCATTACAAAAACAAAGTTATTAATATAATTTTAGTGATTCTGATACAACCAATTTCTTTTTGGTTTAGGAAAGCCGTTCACTTAAGGAAGAATGCCTGCTGACGAAAAAGGACTATAAAGAAAAGGGCAAAAGTTCCAAAACACCTACATGGAACGAGTCAGAGAGTAACTTGAGTGATGATGATAAAAAAGCACATAGTTGTCTCATGGCTAAAGATAGTAATTTAGATGGATCCGAACATGAGAGCTCCGATGGTGAGGTATACCCTACATACAATCATTTATATTCTAATATAATGAAGTGTTGGGTCAATTTGAAAAACTTTCTCAAAGATATAAAGTCATTAAAAAGGTGAATTCAGGTTTAAAGAAGGATAATAAGTTGTTGAGTGATAAAATTAAAAGTCTTTCTTTTAATTGAATTGATCTAACAATGCAAATGCAAATACTTTTTAAACACATACAATGTTCCATGTATAGTGACATGAGTTTATTTATCTAAGCAATT